CCCCCACACCACCCTCCCTTCCCCTATTTAATTCGCCACCTCTGACACTGACGGACGTGGGTGACTGATTTTGGGAGAGAAGCCTTGACAGGGCTGCTAATTGCGGCTGCAAACGAGGACAACTACGGGATGGTGCAGCGCGACCTCGCGCCGGTCCTCGACGCACTCGCGCGCTGCCTCGTCGCTGCCGAGCACCACGCCACGCGCCGCCGCGCGCTGCGAGCCGGGTCCCCCGCCGCTGCCGACTTGGTTTCGGCCACGTTACTGCGCGAGCCGGCTGCCCTGATGGATGGTGCGCTTTCGCCTTTTTTTTTTTGGTCTACCTTCGCCTTCGCCTCGGTCTCGTCCCTCCCCCCTCCCCCATCTCCCTCTTTTTTTTTTTTTACACACTCAAGCTACCCTTGACCGCGCTTGCATGTATGCCTCGCGGCTCTGGCTCGCGCATTAACCACCACCATCCCCCTCCCCTCGCTCCTCCTTCCATTCATACTCTCCCTCCTCCCTCCATTCTGCTTTCTTTATATCGACATTTGGACTGACTCGACTGGCAAAAAATCTACCTCCGCCCTCCGCCCTCCGCCCACCCTCAACCTCTCACCTGTGTACGTACCAGTTGTCGGTAGGTGTGCGCACCGCCTGGTGAACCATTTCGAGCACCACCTCATGCGGCACCACTTCGACCCGCGCTACGTGCAGCGGCTCACCGAGATCGCGGATATGCGCGGCTGAGAAACTGTATGCTGGGAGGAGAAGAGGGGGGGGGAGGAGAAACGGGTTGACTTCTCCGGCTTATTTTTTTTTCTTGATTTGTTTGTTTGCTTGCGTTTGTTTGCGTTCTTGTTTTGTTTGAATTGTTTGCTTGGTAGCTATAGCTCACTTGTGGGTGTCGTGTGTGTGTGCGTTTGGTGGCCTAGGTTGTCCGGCTCTCACTCTCCTTATCGTTATTTTTCCAGCCCTTCCAAGGAGTGGCCGCCCTTACACTTCCCCCCTCCCGCTTGCCTTACCTCTGTCGTTTTCATTTTCCACTGCCTGCGTCGTGTACGCCAATATGTAGGGGATAGTGTGAGCCTGGACCCTTGTGCCGAACAGAGTGGTAGCGGCAGGTCCCAGAAAAAGTAAAGGAGTGAACGCAGGGAGGGGGTGTGCTGATTTTCCTCCGACTGCTGTGTTTCTGGTAAGTCGACACAACGCCAGTACGAATTAGGAGAGAGAGCGTGTCCGCCGTAGGTCTTTTCATTGCTCGAACGCGGAAGAAATGAGTCTCTGAAAAACTAGCAGACGAGATTGGCTATGCCGCGCTATCAGCTGCTGCCCTGCCACCAGGCGGCCGTCTTCGTTTCTTGCTCACCACTTTCATTCGAATCACTTCGGTGTACGGGCGTGTGGTACAAACGACCCCAGCCTTCCCTGATGCTAGTGAACGAAAGAGTTGGAGCCGCTGCATGCCATCTTTGGAGTTACCCGGATAAAGCAGTGGAGCCGACAGTGCTCAGTATTTGGGGTGGATAAAGAATTGTCGAAGAAAGTTGCCTTGGTGAAAAAGAAAGTAAAAAATGTCCGACCTCCCAGGTTCGAACTGGGGACCTCCTGATGGCAGTTACCAATTACAGTCAGATGCTCTTCCAGCTGAGCTAAGGTCGGATGTGAAATTGTTCTACACCTATGTATTTATTTAAAAGTAAGTAAAGGGCGAGCTGGAGTTTGAAAGCCTTTCATTTTTGCTTCGTTCGACGGGACTCCCACCAACACCACCCCCGGCATCATGGCCGCGCCCGCTCGCGTAGTCGACCGCCTGCTCGTCGAGGAGATCGATGCCGTGCCGTTTCTAGCACCGCGGTCTGCCTCGCAGGCGCCACCGCCACCGCCATTGGGGACGTCGCGGCCTCGGCCATTGCTACTGCCCGTGTCGCGACCGCTTCCACACGGCGCTGACAGAGACAGCGATAGTGACAGCGATGGCAGCAGCAGCGGTAGCGGCAGCAGCAGCACTAGCAGCAGCAGCAATAGCAGCGGTACCAGCCACGCCGCTCACGATCCGAACTTTCCGACTCGGGTCTCTCGGGCGCCGCCCTACCGGCCTCCACTTTCTGTCGGGCTTCACACTATACCGCCGACTGCGCACCAGCCCCTGAAAGGCAACAGCATAACCGCGCGCCGCCTCGCAGTGAAGCGCCACGACTCCGAATCGGAGGCGTCGGCTTCATTGACCTCGTCGCATTCCGCCTCTTCGTCTGCGTCTGGCGCGTCGTCGTCATCGTCGTCGTCCGACCCGACGAAGCAGTCTCCGGCCGTACCGTTGTCAGCATCACAATTGCCCATATATGATTGGTGTCCCATTGCCCTTAGCCTTTCCGACCGGGTGAGTATTCCACACATGCGTGTTAAGCATACCCCCCCCCC